CATGCTGGTAGGAAGGGGAATTTGGCTTAATGACTAAACAAAATTAGGCTTTCATTAAGCCTGTTTTCAGAATATCCAGAAAATATAAAACTTTTTTTTTTGTAAAATTTTTTCAGTATGTTCTATGCTTTTTAGTAAGTTTGCTTTTTTAAAGAAAAAATAATAATAATTCCAACTCTTGCTGAGTTTGACTCTGGTTGATTAAAAGTCTTACCAAGGACATATAATATCCATGCAGCCAACACTTAAATAGCTCTTCAGTTTCTGGCTACACATGGCTCTGTTATCTTCCCTCCTCCCTCAGCCTCTGGCATCCTGAGCAGTCACCCCTCCCATTCTGAGCTCTTTCCACTGACCTCAGAAGAAGGCTGGCTCAAATAACACGCTTGTCAAAACACCTAGGTAAGCACATCTGTGGGAGACACCATATAAATAGATATATGGAAACAGAGTGCTCTGTACTGATAACAAAAACCACTTACAAATTCCCTGCACCTTCCAAAAGGTTTATTTCCTACAAGGACTAGTTAAATGTGAATGCCACTAATAATTTTTAATTTTGTCAGCTTAGACAGATCTGTTTTATATAAGCACTGGCAAAGCTGCAACTGAAGGTGATTTTTAAGTTTGGGGTACGGCTGTGGCAAAAATTCTCTGTGCTTAAATAGAGAAAATAAAATGGATCAACAAAAAATGACCCAAAATAAAAATGCTGAAAAGTTTCTAAGTGATCTGTGGAAAAGGCTGAAAGAATTGGCTTTCACTGGTCTACAGTCAGAAAAATACAAAAATAACAGTTCTATCTACTTCTGCCTCCTCACCATACAGGAAACCATGAGTTTAAAACAATTAGCATAGTGTTTGGCACAATGTAAGTGTTTAATAAATATTAGTCGAATGAAAATACAAATGTATAAGTGCTTATTATTTAAAGGAATATTGCAATCACGGTGCTTTCCTTGTTTTTTTGTTTGTTTGTTTTATCCTGACTGGTGTAGTAGACAGCACATAGCTTCCAATTTTACTCAAAATAAAATTCAAAGTCCTTACTACGATGGACTACAAAGCCCTATGTGATCTGCAACCCAGCTCTCTCTTAAACTCGACTCTAACCACTCACCCCCTTACTCACTCTGTTCCAGCACCCCGACCTCCTTATGCTCCTCAAATAAGACACATATTCCTGCCTCAATGCCCTTGCACCTGCTCACCCCTTTGCCTAGAAACTCCTTCCTTCAGTGTCTGCTCAAATATTAACTCATCAGAGAGGCTTTCTTTACCACTCCATCCAAAACAGCATACCCATTTGTCCTGTTGTATTTGTCATCATAACTTATTAGCACTTGACATACTATATGTTTTATTTATTTGTCTCTCCAAACTGGGGTGAGTTTTAGCAGGGCAGAGACCTTGTTCATTGCCTGGCACATTGTAGGAGTTCAATAAATATCTGCCAAATGAACAAATTAATGAACTTTAAATTGCAGTCCAGACAGCTGGGGTCTACTCCTAATTCTATTATAAAAAATTCTGTGGTTGACCGGGCTCGGTGGCTCACGTCTTTGGGAGACTCTCAGCACTTTGGGATGCTGAGGCCGCTGGATTGTTTGGGCCAAGGAGTTCAAGACCAGACTGGGCAACATGGCAAAACCCTAATAAAAAAAAAAAAAAAAAAAAAAAAAAAAAAAAAAAAAAAAAAAAAAAAAAAAAAAAAAAAAAAAAAAAAAAGTGTGACTTTGAACAAACATCTCCTGACACTCAGTTTCTGAATCTAAAATCAGATTGATTTTACAGATACTTCTAAAGCCTCTGCTAGCTCTAAAATCCTGTGGATTTTAGAATCTGCCTTTCACAAAAGTTCTTCTGTAAAGTTTTAGCAACATAAAATCTTTTTTGATATCCACAAACTACAAGCACTGAGAGGCACCTTATTATGATTCAAAACACTGCTCCAATGATGAAGCCTTCTCCAACCCTTCCAGGGAGTATGGATCCAAAGACTTTGAGGTGCTTCATACAGACCTTTTCTTCCTTAAATTTCTTCTAACAACTAACGACATAATTAGGTTTTTCTGTTTCTCCAACTAGAATGTGAAAATAATGGATTCTTATTTTTGTATCATCAGCACCTTGCATTGTCTATGGCAAATATTAATAGTAGGCACTCTGTGAATGTTTAGTGAATGAATGAATACAGGTAAGTCAAAGTGAAATAAGATCATTATTTATACTGAAAGCTGAGACCATCTCTCCCTTCATGGATGAATGGTGGGCAGACGGTAGAGGTTTCCTGCTAATAATGATTCATCTGATGGAATAAAAGAAACTAAAACTTAATGGGAAACTACTAAGAACCAAGCACTCCTCCACACATTCACGTAATTTATGCAATCCTTATGACAACCTTATGAATTAGGAATTTCTATTATTTTACAGATGAGAAAATTGGGCTCAAAGAGGACAGAATCTGCCCATGATGGAACAACTAATAGGATTCACAGTCAGGCCTCTTGATGTCACATGTCACATTCATATCACTGGATGATATATCAGAAGGGCAATTTTCTGATCCAATATACATGTTGGTATATGTAAATGATGAGCTTTCCTGCACTACAAAAGCATTTTATAATTAGAGGGAATTTTTCCTCAATTCAGAAAGGTAACTGTAGATAATTATGTACATTATACCTGAAAGGGTAAAGCTTACAGATCATTTTGTGCCTTTTGAATTTTTAAAAATAAAGGTTTGTAAACCAAAAATAAAATTCTAAGCCCCTTGACCATCTGAATGGACCCCTCTGCTCAGCAAGGGCATTCCAAAGCTAACCTGAAAAACTCACTCAGGCCATGATGCTGGGATGGGGAGATGGACCATGCCTCATTACACCCCCCCCTCCCTTTTGGAATTACTGATAGAACAACTCTTTAAGTCTAATAAGAAACATTTACAATCTCTTCTCTCACAAGCTGGCTACCTGCAGGCTTCATCTGCATGACAAAACTTTGGTCTCAACATCCCCTTATCATAACCCAAACATTCCTTTCCACTGATTCCAGGTCTTTAGAGAATAACTTAACTCTTTCAGCCAACTGACTATCTGAAAAAAATTTATATCTACCTATAACCTAAAAGCTCCCACTGCCTTCCAGTTTTCCCCTTTCTGGACCAAACCAATATATATCTTACACGTATCTGATTGATGCCTCATGTCTCCCTAAAATGTGTAAAATTAAGCTATACCCAACCACCCATGTTCTCAGGATCTCCTGAGGGCTGTGTCACAGGCCATTGGTCCCTCACATTTGGCTTGGAATAAATCTCTCCAAATACTTAAGAGTTTGACTCTTTGTCAACATTTTTCCTAAATCCAGAAGTTTTGCTGACTTCTTGTTACCCTTGTCATCCAATGAATAATAAAAAAGTGGATGCTTTTTCCAGGCCTCCATCACCCACTACCCTATTCCCTCACGTTTCCCTCCACTCTATTTATTCTGACCTCTTTCCCTGGTGTCCACCTTACTGTCTGTAGTCAGAGCAGCCTGAAGTTTACTGCAGACAAATCACATCCTTTTCTGAAGGTCTTGACCTTTGTCAAATGGCCATGCAACCCCAAAGTGGTGAATTGTCAGCTGCTCACATTTTAGTGTAAATGAGTTTTCAGATTCTATTCATAGTAAATTGTAATTGGGCAAGGATGGGAGGAAACCAGACAACAGTAAGGTAAAGGTTATAAAAGCTGGGGTGGACAGACTTCCCCTTCTCAACTGCCAAGGGATCACAGGTCCCCTACTTCCTGATTACTTCCTACAGAGGCCTTCTCCTCTGCTCTTCCCGCTTGCAGTTCCTGCCCACCTCTTCAAGGCAGCTCCAGTGCAACACTCCCTCTTCTGCCCTTGCACAGTACCCATAGTCCTCCCTTCTGCCTCTATACAGTCTCACCCTCGCCATGTTAGGAAAACTTCCCCATGTAGGGGAAGAAGTTAGGGAAACTAACTTTTTCCACAAAGTCCTTGAGGGCAGGGGCTGTACCTGCTTCCCACTTGGTAGCTGCTTGGTAAACGTGGCTTACACTCAGGACTTTTTATCTGACTGACCATCCATCCTCCTCAATGCCACTCTATGGCTAGTTCTTCAACACCGGCGCTGCCGGCTTTGATTAGGTTAGCTGGTCGTTCTGAGGTGGTACACACCCATCTGCCACCTTCAAGGCCTCTACTGTTACCAACAGATTGAGGAGACATCACTGATTGACACACAGTCAGGAAAAGAACCAAAAACCCATACTGAAGGAGAACAAGTGAAAGGAGAAACAAATCCAAATAGAGATTAGGGGATTTCTATTATTCTCATTTTAGGACTTTCTTAAGAAAGGGACAGAGGGTGGGAGATGGAGGGGTGGGAGGAGCATTTTTTTATATAGTATTACTTCATCGCATTCACATTCACTGAAACACTGATATTTGGGACCAGGAAAAAAGCAGCAGGACTTGAGGAGGAGGGGTTGAAGCTCATTCTTTTCCCCCAAAGAATTTATGGGCCTTATTTATCAAAATAAGGTCCCCTTATTGCAGCCTAGCCCAGTGCTAGGCCCCACAGACCGCCATTCATTGGAAGGTACCCAGCGGCCTTCGCTTGCACCCCGCCCCCTTCTCCTCTAGAGCTAGCTTTCGCGATGGTTCCCGTGCCTTGGGCCAGATGTACGCGTTCCAGCACATTTCTGCAGTTAGGCAGCACCCTAAGTAAATCCTCAGGAATAAACAAGGGCAGCGAGTCACAAGGAGCTGGGGGCGGGGGTAATGAACTCTGCTGCAGGCGGGCCTGTCACTCCAGCTGACAGCAAGCACCTTCACCTTCAAGTTGTTTTAAACGGCAGTGCACCCAGACAGAAAGTGCCTAGCTCGAGGGAAACGGACCCCAGAGCTTAAAAACTTCAAAAAGGCAAGGGCGCGGCTAGCTGCCCTGCAGGCCCTGGGCCGAGGAGGGAGGCTCGCGCTACCTGGCGTCCGGCTCCTCCTCCGACTCCGCCGCGGTCTCGTCCCCCTCGACCTCCGTCTCCTCCTCGGTCTCCAGCTCTCGGGTGGCCTCCTCGTCCCCGTCGGAGCCGAGGAAGCTCTCGCCAGTGTGGTTGCTCTCGCTGCTCGCCATCGCCTCTCCCGGGCCGGAGCCGGGGCCGCCCGCGCCGCGCCTGGTGTTCTCCCTCCGACTGCTCTGGCCCCTGCCCTCCCCAGCCCTGCCCTTGCGGGGGCGGCTCGGGTTCCCGGCGCCGGGGGCGGGCAAGCCCCGCGACTTTAAATAGAAGGCGTCAAAGTTTCGCCACCGAGCTCTCGGGGCCCGGGCTCAGCTTCTCCTCTTCGCCGAGCCCTCCCCCGCCCCAGTTTCGCCAGATCCCTGGCGGGCCTTTTGGACAACTGGAGATCAGTTTTAAGGGGCGCGCGCTCCGGCTGCACCAGGGGGTTCAAAGGAGAAAAGGCACCCTAGCCCCTCTGTTTCCTCCAGAGTGAGTCTTTTCGGTTTTGAGTTGAGCTACTTTTTGGACCCTTTATCCCAAACAATAACTACATCCTGAGCAGGGCACTTGCTCCCAGGCGCTCTGCTAAGCTAAGGATCTCCCTTTCATTACCTCGATTCTGCAGCGGTACCTGGAGAAAGTTTTACTGTTAGTGCTGGTTTCCCAGATGAGGAAACAGAGGCTCCGAACAGCTCCAGCAGCTGTCTCTCATTGCTAGTAAACTGACCCAATGACAAGCAAAGCTAGGTGTGTCCTGCTTAAAAGCCCAGTTTCGAATCATTGTTCAGTCCCGGCTCCCTTTATATCGCAAGTCAATATACTGTGTATTTTCTTGCTCAGTCAGTGGTGCCTGTTATTGAACCAGGAAACTTTATCTCCACTCATCTTAAACCTTGAGGAGGAGCAATTTCCCCCACGTTAGCCAAAAGCTAAGTTTTGTCTAAACTGGCCCAAATGCCCTAAGCCCTTTCTCGGATCAAGTTGTGGTTAAAAGCCCTCAACGTTTCCCACTGCTCAAAGACTGAAGCCCAATATCCTCACAAAGGTAACGGTTGCCTAACCGGCCATGTTTTACCTATCTACTCTCTTTATTTTCTTTTTTGAGAGGAGTCTTGCTCTTGTCGCCCACGCTGGAGTGCAATGGCGAGATCTCGGTTCACTGCAACTTCCATCTCCTGGTTCAAGCGATTCTCCTGCCTCAGCCTCCCGAGTAGCTGGGATTACAGGCACCCGCCACCACGCCTGGCTTTTTGTATTTTTAGTAGATAGGATTTCACCATGTTGGCTAGGCTAGTCTCGAACTCCTGACCTCAGGTGATCCACCTGTCTCGGCCTCCCAGAGTGCTGGGATTACAGGTGTAACCCACCACATCTAGCTTGTCTGCTCTCTTTAGAAGTCAGGAGTTCCCAACATTATATCAAGTCACTCCACTGTGTCTTTATTTACACAATTCCTTCTGCCACAAAGGTTCGTCCCATTTTTACCGGCATATCCTTAACTCAAGATCACCACCTTTCTCTGAAATCCCGAAGTTAAACTCAGTATCTCTCTTCCAGGTTCCCACATAATCCTATATTCAAATTATGTTTCTATCTCCTTCCCCAGTGGACTTTGTAAGTTTATTACTCTTCTTTGTCTCACCATCCCCATCCCTTACAAGCCTACACATTAGCAAAGTACCTAGCACATAGCAGGTACATATAATGAATGCTCCCTGAAGAGAACAAAACCAGACCTGCTGACTATGTACAAGCTGCGGTATCTCTACAATACATGAAGATATTCATTTCATGAGAATGATGTGACGGCTAGAAGAGTGAACATTTATCTTTAATTATAGCAAGTCAGAGTTGTTAGATAAGACTGTAGGTTGGGGATTATTCACCAGTTACACTAGCTGATATGCATACATTATGTCTGTAGATAATGAACTGTAAATCGTTGAGAGAGAGTACAGAAAGATCAGCTAGTGGGGCATAAGGAGGGAAAACAGCAGAGTCCAGATTTCCCCAGCTCACTAAACCAGGTTTAGCATCAGCAATATTTATTTTCTTAACACCAGCTAGACTTTACCATCAGAAGTCTCAAATGACCAGGCTCATCCAGGACAAAAGGAATTCAATTGCAGCTGTGGAAATCTGTTAAACACTAATCAAAACCACAGGGAGCCATTCTATGTTCTTTCCGTCATTTAATTAAAATTTTCTTACAAACAGTAATGTCTATAAGATTTATTTGCAAAGATCCTAGTTCAAATCAATCCAAAATTTAGAATTGTAGTACGGATTGCACATTTTAAACACTTTAACAACATATGCAAATACAGTCAGCCCTCCGTATCCATGGGTAGCATTTGTGAATGCAACCAAGTATGAAAAATATTTGGGAAGGGGGTAGGAAAAGGAAGGAAGAATGGGTGCATTTATACTGAACATGTAGAGACTTTTTTTCCTTCTCATCATTATTCCCTAAATAATAACAACTATTTACATAGCATTTACATTGCATTATGTATCAGGTAATTTAGGGATGCTTTAAAGTATACAGGAAAATGTGTGTAGGATATATGCAAATACTACACCATTTTATATAAGAGACTTGAGCATCTGTGGATTTTGGTATCTGAAGAGGACGGGAGTGCCTGAAACCAATCCCTCACATATACTGAGGGACTATACACAGAAATGGACAGATGAGCACAAACAGAAAATAATTTCGTACTCACCACACAAATAATTGAGATTGAAAATAACTTAAGAGTCTAAAAAATTCTCTCATATATGAATATTATCAGTTGATTTATCTGACATAGTTGGCCAGTCACATGTGCATAATTTTAGGCCTCAGTCTACTGATTTAGAACTAAGTTTAGTGACTTCTTAATCTATCACAATAAAGCAAGTGAAAAGAAGCAGTAGTAAGGGTGGGGACATTGAAAACTGAGAAAACAGTGACAGTGAAGGAGTCCACACCATGATAAATCCTGGGTTTTATTATGAAATGTCACAATACTGTAGAGACATGGCACCCTACACACTTACCCATCCCTGTTGCACAGTATTACCGAATAGTACCATGACCAATGCTTATAATGATGACCCAGTCATTACTAGAATATTTACTCGGCATATTTTGATTAAGAGATGCACAGCGTATAGTGGATTTTAGGAAAAATTTCCCCCCAAAATATGAAAAGCTCAGTTGTATAAAAAGTGTTACACAGCAGGATATCTAAAAAATTAATATGTGTAAACCTGCATTCCTCATAATGCCAGAGACATAAGATATTGATGTGGTTAGCTTGCTTAATCACAAATGAACGTGATTCCAAGATTCTCTGTACTATCTAAATAATCAAGCATAGTAAGCAGATTTAGTTCAGTTCTAGATGGTAACTATAGCCTCGGTCTCATCTAAAAGCAAAGACTTTCACAGAAAAAAAAAAACACCTCAACAATGTCCATATATAAATTTTATTGCATTTGACATCATACAAAAATTTGAGCTTAAAGAAAATGAAAATGTGCACCTTTTATAAGTCAAAGAAAAGCAAAAGTTTTAGCATTTGGTCTGGAAAAAAAATACGTCAGAGGTACAAACTGTACTACAGTAGGTCTAAAAAATGTTGGACATAGTCCTTTTGAAAAAGTTAAAACTGTTTTCAAGATTACTTTTTATATTTAAATTTACAGGCACTGACCAATTTACAAATATTTACATACATCAAAAACAACCTTAATAAACACTGTAGCTTTTTTATTTTTAGCAGCCACCACTACTTCTTCCATGTGAAAAAAGAAATACTAAAAAGATTTTTTACAAACATTAAGCCTTTATTTATAATAATTTTATTGTGTCTTACCTAAAACATTTTGTAGTGGCTTACTGCCTAAAAATTCCAGTTTAGATTATAATCCTATAATTGTACACAGAAAAATATCTGATACTACAAACAGGATATAATCTTAACTTTGATCTCTCAGTTTCTGTTGCTTCATGTCACAAAGAAAATAGAGCAGGAAAACAGCAAGTAAAGCAGAAGTGCACATTGCACTAAGCTATCATAAAGCACAGGAAACAATCTTTTCAAAATGTCTACACTGAACTGATTCTTTGAAACAATTCTCTAAGAGTTGGTACTCCTATTACTACAGTGCAAAATGTATTGTTCTTTCAATACAAAATTTTAAAGCAATCTCAAGAGTGCATCAAAAGCCTGTGAAGTACTAGTGAAATGCTAATACAGACACACCCAAAGCCTCAGTCTATCCTAGTGAGTCAAGCAAAGACTTAAGGCAATTGTTCAGTATTTCATGACTCTGCAGTGATGTCACTGAAGTGAAAGATTTTGTTTTGCTTCAAGTAACTGAACAACTGACTTGAATCTTCACTTTACTAGAACAGACTTAGACAACAAACTAGCTAATGTAGGTTATACTTTAAGCACGTATGAATTAGATCCTTTCCAAAATTCCACACATCTCAGGATTAGCATGTGGTACCATTAATTGAGGTTATATCAAAAACTTTTTATTTGTTCAGGTAATTTCCCAAAATATATTTTATCTGATCACCTGAAAATTCATGCCATAATATTACTAATCATCAATGTAAACATTTTCAAAAATACATTTTTAAATCAAAGGGTTTTATTAGGAAATGTCATAATAAAATATGCAATCTTTGTATGTCTTTTTAAAAATAAAACATGAAAACAAGAACTATGAAAAAAGAAACTATGATGCAGGTAAACATAATGTATTATGATGAAACTATTGTTCTTTATTTCTTGGAATAATTTATTAAGAAACAGAGGCCAGTTATCTTTTCTGGATAGCAGCTCTTATGGGTAGTATACTGTTCAAATCTCTCTTGTTTTTCAATCTGTGCCATGACTGGGAGAGAAAGAAAAATCATTCTTAAAACCTAAAATTAAGGCAGAACAAAAGACTAAGAGTTTAAAAGAATGTTAACAGTGGTTCTCTTTAGGTATAAAATTTTGAATAATTTTTTTCTTCAAGTCTTTTCTTTTTCTGAGATAGGGTCTTGCTCTGCTGCCCAACCTGGAGTGCAGCGGTACAATCTTGGTTCACTACAACCTCCGCCTCCCAGGCTCAAGATATCCTCCCACGGCCTCGTGAGTAGATGGGATTACAGGTGTGTGCCACCACATTCAGATAATTTAAAAAATTTTTTGTAGAGACAAGGTCTCACTGTATTGCCCAGTCTGGTTCTCTGAGTTTTCATTTTCCAAGTTTTTAACAAAGTATAAGAAA